AGTGGGTCATACAATAATTATTAGTGTTATTGTTCATATAATTTTATGCTTATTGTTTTTTTTTCTATTCTATTTTATTCTCAATATTTTTCATATAAAATAACAAAAAAACAACTGCGATTCATTTTGACAATGGAAGTGAAGATTTATGCTGCTCGAGAATAAATAAAGCGTTTTGTCCTATAACTAAATTATGATCTAGATGCCAGCTTGATTTTTTTTTCTAACATTCTTTATTGTGCCGATCATTGAATGTTTGAAGAATAAAAGTTCGAAAAAAAAGAAATTGATTTTTATTAAAATTTTATTTAATTAATTAATTAGAATAGATATTAATTTTGATATCTTCTATTATTTATAAGATGATAAATTTTTTTCAATGAATTACATAAAAAATTCTCTCCTAGATATTTCTTTTTATCATAGTCATAATTAAGATCAAACGAGAGAGAAATATTATAATTTTTATGATCAAAGCATTAACAAATCAATCTGTTTCCTTTTTATGCACGAGAATAACAAATGATGTGGGCGGGTAGAAATCAATCAATGACGTTATCTGGAATCAATCTAACTTAATATACTTTTTTCAAGATGAAAGAAAAAAACTACGAAAGCTGTGCTTAGAGACTGGCGAATTTCGAAATAAAAAGTTTAAACATGCATAATCCTTAAAAGATCTTTTATTGTTGAATTTTTTCCAATATTTAAATGAAGACAGAATATAACTTTATATGTATAAAAGAAGTTCTATCCTTTTTGTTATGACTAGTAGATGCAAGGTTAACTAAAAGTTATTGAACTACGGTGAAGACTCAATAGAATTATTATCTTTTCGTTGTTTTTGTACATACTGATGGACATAAGTTTAATTATAGTTTGAATATTCAACAGTTCATTTTCATAAACTTGTCTGTCTGATTAATAAAACACACTAACGATATATTACTAATAGAATTTTTGAAAACAATTCAATTTAAAATCAGTGCATATTGTGTTGCATTATGGATCAAGGTTCAAACAAACATTGAATTTGTTCTTTGTGCTATATTTATCTTCTCTGTTTTTTTTTCTCGCCTTTTTCTGTCGATGTCTACACTGAACGAACATCGCATATATTAAATAAATATCACCATGAGACAATTCAATTTGGCATTCATTTAAAGAAGCCATTATCCAATCACAACAACGAATCTTTTGTTATTACTAATTTTACAAACTTTTTATTCATTATCAAGAGAGGAAATCAGCAGTGCGTATATCGCAAATATGCTTTTATCTATGCAACTAATGTATGTATAGTATGATAAACCCTTCATGTAAATAAGTATTTTCTTTCGTATAATCCAGATGAAATAGATGTTGTAGTGAAAAAAAAATTCTATCCTTTATTTCTGATGTATTTTTTGTTATTTGACTTCTATTTGTTATTTATGCCTGAGATACCATGCAATGCATTGAAGTCTGTACTTTCTCGTTATATACCCATTATCAAAAAAGAAACAGACTATAATAGTCTAGATTTTCCAAAGCGGAACCAAAATTCAAGTTTACGGTGAATTGAAAATTGGATATGAATGTGTGACGATTCAACCAAAGAAAGGTTACGTTATGCTTTTTTTACGCATGATCTCTTACATGTAGCCGCCATGACATCAAAGACGAAGAATTCTCTCAATCTGACAGAACATGCTCTCTTGAGAATTGATGTACTCATACAGCAAAAAGGAACAGCACTGGGATTTATAATTTGCCCAGAAGAACAAAAAGATTATTTTACTTGTCTGGATTTTTCTTGTGAAGCTCAACAATATGAATTGAAAATATATGGAAAACTTTGATGAGTTATACGAATGTTCACTATCGATTCAATATAGTTACCCACGAATACTCGAACCCATATCAAAAGCAGAGATAATTCATCACAATGACAAAAAGAAAACCATTGATTGACGAATTCCCTTCTGAGATATAGTTTCACATTTTCAAATATTTACATTTCCATAATTTCAATTACTGAAAATTGCTTGGGATGCTCAAGAGATGGTAGTTTTCGAAATCGATGGCTGTTTACAAAAAATCCATTCTAACTATTCATACTAAATATGGTAGTTGAACTTTATTTTGATTTTTCTGATAGCAACTTTTTCTATCAACATATCGAAGAATGTTGTCGAGTAGTCGCCAGCTATGGTTTCTTCCTATCGGGACATTGAGACAATTGAACAATGCATACTGTTCGGTATGACAAAAGTCACATAGGAAGTATATGAAGTTAAGATACAGAGAATATTGGCAGACGCCTTTTACAATCATCATTGTCATACTTCTCTCTATCGAGTGATAAAAAACAAAAGAACAAGTCAAAACAGAGGCTAAACATTGACTTAAATTATAGTGTTAATTGTACTTATAATTTATTGTGAAACTATACAACGATGCGTGGCATGAACATAGATAGAATTGAAATGAATGACGGTCTAGTGTATTCATGATTAAAACTTAGCCACGAAATAAATGCAAAAATATTATCTAGTCCTACTGCAGCAATATCGCGATTTCTATACAATGCTGACTAATAATTGAGCAGCAAAACCATAAGAAATTGTGACAGTCCTATTTTCATTTATCGGACAAAGATGAACTGTTGATCAATGTGTAGAACAATGGCATATTTGCAATCTATGATCATTCATCTCGTTTAGAATTCGAGCAGAGAATCCATCTCAATATATTCCAGTTTCCATCGGTTACATTAATCGGTCCTGATGTATTTGTGTTCGAACTCGTCTGCCTTCTCTTACCATTCGATCATAATCAAATGAATCCCTGTCGTATGAATACTAGTGAATAACACATGATAGCATCCACGAAGTCGAAAATACATATGATTTTCTTATTTCATATCTTATGCCAAGTCATTCGTCACTCGTTGCTGCATTCGACATCTATAAATCAGCAATGATCAGCATTGCGCATTGTCAAACAAGCTTATCATTTCAAATTGAATGAAGAGACTACCTATCGAAATGTTCATCAGCATCTGTGACGCTTGAGAACTAGTCTATTCTGTCTGATGATCACGTATCTGTGGAGGCAGGTAAGGACAGAGGATCCACTTTTCTTGCGATATAACTACTTCAACACTCATGTGCGATCGTATTCTACATCATGCAGCATTCTTCGGGTAAACCAAGAGCTAATTTACTGTTTTGGGTGGACACAGCCACATACAAAAACATTTTCTAAAGGGTAGAATTCCAACTACAAAAAAAAAATACAAATTCTTGAGAAGAGAAATTTTTGCTGTGGGTCCTTTGGATAGGAAATTATTTTTCTGACGACCAGGAGTTAGAGCTTCATTAGTGTTCCTCTTTGGGTATCAGTGTGGGATGCACATGAACGGAATACCGCATCCACAACTATATCCATCCCCTCTCGGACACACGTGCCAGTCACACCTATCCCGTCGTCTAGGGCATCGTTGTCAATGGAGCCGTCCGGGAGAACTGATTAAGAGTAGAACTCCTTGTTCGCAATCGCATCGATTTCAATCTTTTTCAACGAACTGTCTTCAGACATCAATTGAAGTCCTAAACACATTGAACCGTAACTCTCAAAATATTCCACAACAACGACCTTAGCTACAACAGATATAATCGTAAAAGTAACTATTGTGTGACATCCGTATGTTTCTGACCCAGGCACCTCTGTAATTTTGATCGCCAATCAATAGGATGAAAGTCTGAGTACACAACGTGTGTGTGTAATTTTCAGAGTACATTCACATGTCACACCTCATCGACACTAAACTATTGAATGTGTTCTGACCTTCTTCGAGAAACCAAGCTTATTGGCAGGAGTTGATGTAACTGAATAAGCCTGTCATGATTATCGGCAGATGATGCCAACTTCGGAAACTGCTGCCTCTTTGAAGATTCAGTACGCGTTAGGATCCGTTTTATTTCAAATATTGTTAAACGAATACAAAGCTGGTATTAAAACGATCAAGAAATTCATGATGATGAATGTAATGAATAAATTTCGTATTCAATATCGAAAGGGATAGATTGTTCATAAAAAGAAGAACTATATCTTTGGCAGTGTTCGAAAAAGTAACCGATACCAAGATGAAAGCATCAGAGTTCAATGGAACCAACGGAAGCAAGAAAGTGTAAGGCAGTAATTGCACTCATCCAACTTAGAAGAACGAACGAGGCTTGGAGTTGCAAGCCATTGCAGGCTATTATACAAATGTTGGTGATCGTTGAACTGAAGTATATGACAGATAATGAAAATATTGAGATGATTTTTCTACCAACAGTATTATACTTACAAATCAGTATGGGTTGTTTGGATAGAAGATGCGCTCGTTGTCGATTGGATTTCATTTTTTCTGGTCGATGTAGTTGATTGAGTCATACTCTGGACGGTATTCGATATCGTTGATGTGGTGAAAGTCGACAAGCTAAAAATTTTTCTCCCGATATAGAACTCTGTACTGAGCATTTATAACTCATGTAGTCGTGGCGTAGATATCACCCGGACAAGCATTGACATCGTTTCGTGACACGTAAAACAGTACTGTTGCGATTGAAAATATTGACTAAAACATGATCAACACATTAATCTTTCCTATCTTGAATATCAATCATTGCTTCGATTACCTATCCAGTGCCATGGCACACATTACCAGAAAACCCACTTGAGCCATAGTTGGTGTCCACATCAGTGTCTTGTAATAGGTGGTCGAATTTTCTTGAACGACGCCAGTTTGAAGCATGCAAGAGAAGGAAATGGTAGCAATATCAGAAATGTTCACGTTGGGACCACAATTATTAATAGCAATTAATCGAGATCTGAACGTTTGTCCGACTTTAACCGATGTACAAGATTGGCAAGTTGGAGGAGCGATCACTTGAACAAGAAATTGAATAGGTATAGCACTAAGTGGAACGAGACTGGATGAGTTGATAAAATATTCGACCTGAAAATAGAAATCAAGAAGAATGAAGGAGACCATTTTTGAAATGACCATAAAACATCCTAACCATAAGAGCTACGGCAAACCAATCTCTAGCTGTTCTACCAGTGATGACAATTGTACAGTTTGGATATATGATTGTATTATTGGGAAGAGAACTAGGTGGACAAACATCACCACATTCATTGGTCCCATTGGACCAGCGACATCGAATTGTATCACCATCAGCATTACCGATGGGAACTTGAATTACTTGAGCAATACCAACAGGTATGTTGATGGGCGACATCATGGTGGCTACTGGGGCACTGTTGTACACACTATTGTTAGCTCTCAGCTTAAGATTGAGACGAGATGCAATCGACCAGGCAGCAGCAGATGATATTACTAATGGGCGCCAAGCATTATCCGCGAAAGCTACGATAAAATCACTATTCTGTCCCACATTGATAATATCGGATCGTCGACCAACACTACTGCCCTGTACAGATGATGCATCAGTACAAAAATGCCAGATTAGTGGAGCGGAATAGCCAGTAGCACCTGTTGCACAATTGCTGATACAATTCAATTTATTTCTCATGCCATTGTAACTGCTCGTTATTGGTACTTGTTCACCATTTGCAATATTCGAAATTGTACATTTAGCGAGTTCCCACGTCCACGAGTATGTTTGAGTAATGATGATGCTTACTGATGTTCCTGTTGCTGATGAATTGAGCGGACTTCAAGTGATTGTACCACCCAGAAAATGCGATGCATCAACAACAATTGCTATTGAACTGAACAAGACAAACGCAATAGATGATATTGAAACTTCTTCTGTCATTTATTGATTGAGTTCGAGAAATAAACGATTTTTATAGAGAAAAGTAAAAAGTACCGTCCGATTATAAATATGAACATTCTGCATCTCTATGGTATCTCAACTACGCACAAGTAATGACTTCTCGAGTAATATAACAGCCATCTTGCACAAGACTTGAGCAACAACTTGATTAAAGTTCTATAGAAACATCAGATATGTGCATAAACTAGACTCAATGAATAATCCAATGTTGCTCTGTTGTTCTCTCCCACGAAGATACTTTTGAAAATTTTGCTATTCAAATATTTTTACTTTTAGAAAAAAAAGTCAATTTTTTTATCTGGTGCTACAACGATTGATATTAATTTGGCCTAAAGACAAAACAGCGAAGGAAGGAATAGCAAAAAAAAAAAGCAAAACAAATTGCGAACCGAAAAAATGTCGCAGAAATTTATAGCAAAAAAGCATATAAAAAAAAAAAGTTTATTTTGGGATTCTCGATCAGGAAGATCAAGATATTTTATTGCATATCAAAAGGCAGGAGACTATAAATACACCAACAAGAGAGAATGGTGTATGAAAAATATTCAACAACAAAACTATCGACAAGACAATATGTTTATTTATGTGAGTATGAGTGTGGGTGTCTGGGTGAAGTGTGCAGACAGATATTAGCCTTCTGTTTACATCTTTATTCGTACAAGCAGAATCACACTTCACAGTCTTCACTCAATCACGTCACTTAATGACACGTGAAACACTTTTTAGGGGTATATATTTTCTTGCTAGTTTTATACTATCAAATTCTTTTTTTTTTCGTTTTTTCTTTCCTTCGATATTTTGTCTTTCGGTCAAATTGATACATACCGCCACAACAATACGAATGACTTTTAGAAGGATCTTAGGGCGTTTCAAAATGACCTTACCAATATTGTTGGATCGAACTTGAATAGTTCGACATTATCGTGTTGAGAGAAGCATTCATTAAGTTGCTATTGGAATCGGTTTCCATTTTTTGCAATCGTTTCTAGTCAAGTGGATGACAATATGTCCAGGATAACATACCAACGTTCAAGAATGACTTAGTACAGATCTTTTGACTTCTGACTTGATTTTATATATGTAGTGTGCTTGAACGATGACTAAGATTTTTGTCCTATTCACATAGCGTGACAGCAATGGATATTTATTTCATTTTGTGTCCGGACAATGTCTAACATCGACTTATCTTGGACCATCTAAAAGAATCAGTTAGGAATAGTGATGATACTAAGTTTTCTCTTTTTCGAGAGGATAGAAGTGAGTCGGCCATTTTCAAGTCTATTTAGTGTAATCGATGTGTGTTGATCGTTAGCTAACCAAAAACGTCCCTTCTATTTACATTTCTTTGGAAAAAAAATATTCGAATGGAATATTTGAACTTGTGAGCTAATCCATATGCGGATTACAGTGCACTTCGATTGATTTTCCTTCCTTTGTATGTCTTAATTTAGACTATTATAATTGGATTTTTTTTTATAATGGATATATAGAGAAAGTACAGACTTTACTGCATCGCATGATATATCGATTATAAATAACAAATAGAAATAGTTTTGTTAATGATCAAATTTGAGTCATCTGGCATTGGGAAAGGAAAAATGCAAGTCGACTTTGATATACAAACGTCAGAAATAGACTGTACTAGAGAGACTTTGCATCACTTTTGCGAAATCAGTTAAATACTAAATGAACAACCATCTGAAAGATCTTGAGAAATTGCAGAAGAGAAAATCGACGAAGTTCAAGATGTTTGTAAAAATGTACGAATAACCTATTACGTTTTACGAACAACAGAAGGTTATATAAGGTGAAATTTGTCTAAAAACTTCACGAAGTAAAGTCACAAGATTGAGCTGAAGTTCTTGGCATATTTAATTGTTCTGTATATTTTTTATTACACATTTAATAGTATATAGATTAGTTTTAACATAGTAAATAGTCTGAAAAGCTTACTAACTAATTTTAAAAGATTCAGCACTTAAGAGTATAGATATGGCTGTAAGTATCAAGTTTCCATACAACAGCATCCACATTCCACATCCACAAATTTTTAATTTACTGAGCAAAGATAATAATTACCAAACACTAAATTTCATACTGACAGCTTGATTTATTTACTGATATGGTGTATATAATACTGAGCAAATTATGTTAACCATTAAATTTTGTTTTCTTTTTGGCATATTTTTGTAGATAAACATCTGACAAGAAAAGTCTTTCGTTTTGATTCATTGATGTTAATATTAAACTATAAATTGACTATGTCCAACAAACACATGTTCACTTGTACAGTGCATATTATAGAACTACCATTACGGTAATTTTTCAACTGTGCTTAATTGTATTACTTTGCGTTAAGGGTACTCCCCCACCCTTTTCTGGAGGTGAAAATCAAAATTTTTCGATTTTTTGTTGTTCATCGATACATATACATCGAAGTGTTCTCTATCGATCTGAGAAAAAAAATTACTTTTAACAACGTTTTATGCTTGAAAAGAATGATTTTCGAGACTTCCTATCTAAAAAAATGATTTTTTTACTGTGGTTTCAAAATATCTCGTCTTTGCGTTTAAGAATTCAACAACTGCGGCTGCGTCTCTTTCGTTTATTCGCCGATCATTTGCAATCTGCCAACAGCTCTCTATATTCTTCCACCTCCGCCTTTTCTCTCTGTCCAAGATAGATGTGAAATAGAAGTGAAAACAAGAGATAACTTTCAATTGATATGCCGTTGTTCTCTGACTACAGACATCTCGCAGCTTTAAGAAAAGGTACTTTCTGATCGCGAAAACAACCTCATCAAATGCGCAGTAGTCGAAAACCTATAAAATCTCCAATAGAAAGAGAAAAAACCGAAATTCGATTTTGTTTTGCGTTTTTCTCGAAATCAAATTTTACATAAAAAAAAAAAGTAACTTTTCGCCCTCGTTTCTCGGCCACAGTACATCCGATCAGACTGAATTTCTTTGTTGACATAGTAGACATTATTTGGGATGCTTGTTTTTTTCCATTTCAAAAAGTATTGCTTTGAAGATTTTTCGCAGCGTTTGCAAAATTTGCCCTAGTAAAAAAATAAGCGTTTTTTAGGACGTGTCCAGGATTTCGACTTTTTTATTTGAAGAACAAGAGATATAAGGAAACCAAAAAAATACGCACCCAAAACAGTGTTCAACACCTGTAAAAAAGATTTCAGCTCCATTGAGCGTAGTATCTCGGAAAAACGAGGGCAAAAGTGGGGTCAATTTCGCTCATTGTGACCTCAATATCTCCTAGAAGACAGCATCCGAGAACTTTGTGTATATCATAACTTTTACTCTACTCAGCAAGATTTATATGCCTGAAAGTTTCAAAATTTTCAGATAAACCGCTCTCCAGAAACCTCGGAAAGGGGCGGGGGTACCCTTAATATGTCATTCTAGTTTTAGTTGTCCATCTAATTTATTTCTATAAATATTTGAATTAGAGATAAAAAGAAAATTTAAGAAATCAGCAATACTCATAATAACAGGCAAGAACATTTACATTTGGCAATCAATTTTTGTAACAGCACGAACGGAAAATTTACTATCCGATTGTCTTTGATCTAAACAAATTCTTCTATCAATTGATGTAAGTTCTACAAGACTAAATTGACATTCGTTTCAAGCATTTGTTGCTGAAGTTGAATGAATTTGTCAAATTACTCGTGAATACTAAGACGATGTATCAACATGTGATTTTCAAAATTTATGAACCAGGCTTGGCCTGCTTGCAACAAGTCGTCGTTACCAAACGAATTAGAAAACGCAGCAATTGGAATTTCACCTTCGGTATATATTTTTTCTGAATTTTAATATCTATTAAATCACTTGATAATGATTATTCAAGCATTGATGCAGATAAAATGTGCTCAAACACACAAAATACGATTAATTAACACTTCATAGAAAAACTCATTCATGAAAATGTTATTATTTCATACGATCAAATAGAAAAAACTTAGGCTTTTTAGTTTTTTCGGCATGACCTTTTGAGATCAACTGTTTCTATTGAGTGTTCACTATTGAACTTGTAATTTGTTGATCTCTTTCTGAATAAGATTCTTGATCAATATTTAATGACAATAGTAGATGGAAATTTGTGATGAGATCATTACCCATAAGGGATGTTTTGTGTTTATTCAGTTATGAAAACAATCATATAGTTGACTGTACGTAAAAAGAAAAGAATGTAAATAAAAAGTAATTGAACTTGATGCAAAAAGTATTAAACATGACAAAAAAATCAACTCTTAGAAGAGTGGGAGGGTGATTTTCTAATGTGTCGAAGACTCTATTTAAAATCAAAATTAATACACCAGTATAAAAAAAATCATTTGATATTGATGCTTATCTCTATGATACACTCTAATGTTTAAACTAAATAAAAACATGTTCCTTATCTAAAACTTTAAGACATTGATAACAATGAACGAAATAAAAAAAGATTTCTGATTATATCGACCATAAAATAAAAATATTTATTAAATTAATGTTTCAAAAGCATTATACAATATGCAGATTGATTACAATTTAATTCATAGTGCAATCTATCTCGAGATTCTATTAATAATTTTTTTTTTTTTTGATTAAGTCCTGATTAAAGAAAAAAAGATTTAACATCATCATAATAATAAAATGTGTTTCTTTTAGCAATATGAAAATCTATAAAATGAAACGAGAAGAAAAGAAAAAGAAACAAAATAAAAGCGAAAATAAATTAAAAAAAAAAGGATCTTTTTCGATTTTTCTTTTGCTAAAAATCGCTTGCTCGAATGTCTGTTGAGCTTAATTTATCCGATAATGTACTACTTCGTCTTGCTGTAAAAAATAAAAAAAAAACAACCTTTATTTTAAGATTAAAAAATTAATTTTTTCGAAAATACCCGTATGATCTGAAGTTGAAGGATGTTCACCCGTTAATTCTTGTAAATATTTGAATGAACGTGATGGATGTTCATTTAATCGATTTGTATGTGCTGAAACACTATGTTCATCATATTTATTTAATAATTGTTGAGATTTTGTATAATTATTATTAGGCTTCGAATTATTTTGTTCATTATCATCTTCTTGTGTCATCATTTGAAGAAAACGAAATGCACGTGATGGAACTGTTGAACCTTTATAATGTGGTGCTTCAGGTTCATGTTCACGAAAACTTGGTGGTGCTAAAAAGAGCAGACAAAAAAACAAAATAGATTCAAAAATATTTCATAAAATTATAATATATATATATACGTTTATTATAAATTTCTAAAAGATCATCTCGATTATTAACTGTTCCAGATTGATTTATTGATAGTTCTTGAGATATATCATATTGTTCTTGTAAAAATTTAAATGCACGAGATGGATTATGAGCATCACTACCTCGTCGAAGACCAGTACCATTTTTTGATATTATCGGTTCTTCAATAGGTTTTTTTGGTACTGTCATAATATCATCATTATCAACACTATATTGTTCTTGAAGATAACGAAATGTTCGTGATGGAAGTGTTGATACACCACCTGAACTTGAATGACGACGATTTGCTTTATTTTGTTGATCATGAATAGCCTGATCAACTATGAAAAAAAATATGAATGTTGATTTAATATTATGTCCTTCGAATAACATTCAAGTATACAAGTAAAACCTTCAATTGCCTCTTAAAATGAAGGACTATCTGGTGAAATTGTTCTGAGAAATTTCAACATAGACGAATATGTTCTTTTAATCCTATTAGATTCCATTAGACAATGAATTACAGATAAAAAAAAAAAACAATCTGAACTTTCGATAGTCATACGAAGAAAAAAAAACTGTCCTTCAACATTTTCTTGTTAAGTAAAACTTTATTATTATATTATTCTATTTGTCTAGTATAAAGAAATCATTCATTCGATATTTTGATTATAATTGGATTTTTTTTTGCTCACTATTGAATAAGACTGAAAAAATTTTAATATACAGAAAAAATCTTCATTCATTGTATATTTGTAAATATTATGATATAAATATAGATTCTTTTTTATAGTCATTTGATATTTTCATTCGATTGACCTTCTAAATTTCTATCATTCGATAAGAATTGGACATGATCCAATATAATAATTATCAAAGATAATAAAAGAAAAAGAAACATATTACAAAGGTCACTTATTCACCTGCTGATCTATTTGTTGTAGATTGTGATAGTGGTGATGGTATTGCAGTAGGTACAGTTTTTTCACTATCCGAAATCCATCCTTGAAGCATTTGAAATGAACGAGATTGTGTTATTCTATTTAATAAAGAAACAAAAAATTGTTTTTTTTTTTTAAATTCAAATCATGTTTTTTGCTTTTTTTATAATCAACATACACGTCAGTATCATGTTGTATATTTTTTTTTGGTGATGTTGGTTGTTGACGAGAATAACTAAAAGGTTGAATTGGATTAATAGTTGTGTAATGATGTTGATTGAATTGATCAGACGGTACAATCATTCGTCGATTCATAGTTGGATCGATTATTGGTTCTTCTTCACTTATTGATCTATAGTCACGATAACTGAAAAATCGAATAAATAAGATAATTAATAATTGTTCTAAAATATCGAAATACGTTTTTTTTTTCCCTTCTATTATTTGTTTCTTTTGTTTCATATAACATTCTTAACATGCCGAAAAGGTTTAATTCAAAACAAACAAAGTCTTTTTATTGGATGCAGTATTAAACTCACCATTTTGATTTTTATCAAACACAAAAAGAATTGAGATTGAAGCAATAAAAGTGATCGTTATGTATTGTTTTTTATTTGTGTATGAATGTTTTGTTGAATGATTATTCTTTTTAAGTATTGATTCGCACAAACATTATTTTTCTCTTTTTTTTCTTGCTTTTTGTTCTCTCTTACACAAGATAAAACACACCTACTTTCAAACGGTGTTGTAAAAAAACAGAGAATGGGATGTCGACACAAATTGTGGCATATATGCGAAAAAACATACGAATGTATGAAAACGAAAAAAAGTTAAAGGGACCAAAAAGAAAAAAAAAGGAAAATTGTGTGTAATTAAGTTTACGATGTGTCTTACGGTAGAGTGGATAGGTCCAAAAAAATCTCATTGAGTCGGTTTATTTTAATATTCAAATGTTTTTCTTTCCTTCCTTCCTACTCTTTCGTTTTTTTATTGATTACAAAAGAAGTCACGCCTTTAAGGTTGATCGAGAATAGAGTACGGTCAACCTGTCTTTGTGTCCTATGAAGAGATTGATGGCAAAAAAAAAAATACTATTCATTATCCTTGAACATAATCTTACCGTCTGGTACGAGATGATTCACGCATTTTAGATAAATCAACACCTCCTGGTATGTATGTAAATGGTTTTGGACCACCAGGGCGACTAAGATATTTAGCAAGAATCGGAGAAAGATTTGAAGCATCCTAAAAATAAATTAATAACAATAATAATTATGTCATTCATAATTTACTGTTGTTTCTTGATATGAAGGATAAGTTTCATTCAATGATTGATGTTTTATTAAAAAAGGTTTTTTTTTCTTCGTCATTAAATTAGCATTATATGTCGGCGTTTGTGGAGTATTTTCCATAGGCATCGAACTTACATTATTCCAAGGTGTGGATGATGAATCATAACTATACGATGGTTGTTGTTGTTGTTGGTCAGCTAATCCCTCTGTCTGAATTGTATCAGGTGGATTTGAATAACCCGGTCTGAAATTAGTTTTTCAAAATTAATCATAGAAAATATTATATAAATATTTACTTCTGTACGGTAAGAAAAAGAGCATTGCCACAACGTTGAATGAGTTCAAGAGCATCTTTATGTGTCATTTGTGTCACATTATTTCCGGCAATTTCTATTAGCATATCATCCGGATCAATCTTACCATCAGCCGGAGAATTCGGCACAATCTGACAATAAATATCAATATGATATATGTTTGTTTTTAATCATATGAATATAACACATATTTCTCGACAAAAACATACAAAGCAACAATAACATTTTCTATGTAGTTTACATAAGCACGTATTCTTTCTGATAAAATTAAAGAAAAAACCAAATTCACTTGTTCTATTACGAAAAGATATTACTCGAACACACTTGTTCCATTAGTCTATATGTGTACGATATTTGTCTTTCTTTCTCTATTGATTAATGAAAGTATATATAAATATATATAAACATACGACAAAATAATTCCTAATTCTAAAAATAGAACTGTACTTACATTGGTTATTGTTAATGGTTCATTATATTCAAAACCACCTTGAAGTCGAAAACCCCAAGCAACATTACCTTCTGGTCGACTAATAAAAACTTTACTCATTGAATCTTCTTCAATTTAGGTCAAACGTTGTATATGTATTTATATATATATGTATGTATGTATGTATCTTTCTACAAATAGACTAAATGCGACAATGATATCTCCTTTTTTTTTGTTTTTGTTGCTCTTGCTCTCGTTTTGCCGGACGCACCATACTAATATCAGTAATACCAGAAAAAAATATAGAAGATAAATAGAAGGGTGAAAAAAAGACGCAAACGTCTATTTTCTGTTCTTAGAGATACAAACGACGATATTTGTATGTATTTGTGAGAAGAAGAACAAGAGATAAGTTTTTCTTCATCTTCGTAGATTTAGATTAAGCTGAAAGACAAGAAGAGAAAGATAACTTAATCATGGTAAACTATTGTTTTTTTCTTAATATTAACGTACAAAATAAGATACTATTATTGTAATATGAGAAAAAAAGAATATATGCACTTGTTCAATAGAATTTGTATAAGTGCAACCTTCTTTAAATTATATATATGATTATTAAGTGTTTTGTTTTTGTATGCAATATTCTATTTATTATTTTTTCGTCATTTGTTATTGCTTTTCCTGCTGTGCACCGAAATATCCACAATAGATTAAGTACTTACAGGATCAATTATGATGTTAGTACACAAAAAATTTGAAATAATGTTTGAGTAAATAATAAATCTTAATAGATTTTTTTTTTATATGTGATATTTGAAATCATTTTTCAAGCGCAATACTTTTATTTTTTCAATGAATTGAAAATAAATATTTTCTATAGTAATATCTGTCGTCTACTGTAGTGACCTAGATTCGATTGTTTGTCATACAATCAATCTTTTATTATTTAATAGGTACAATTTCTGTATGAATACGCATTTGAAATTTTATTTTCATCAATTTAAACATACATGGTACTAAGATTTAGATGTATATCGGTAAATTTTGACAGTATTTTAATGAAAAATGATTCATGAGATGATAAGTTTCTATTTTCAAGAAATTCAAATGAAAATTTAGTTTGATGTTTTGATATGTAAAACTCAGAAGATTAATTTTAATAATAAAAGAATATAGAAATAATGTGGCATTTGATTGAGACAATTCATTTTCATTATATACGCTTTTCTAGTAGAAATGAATTTTTGTTTTTGACCTAATCCAATCTGAAAAAAATAGAAATAATACTTAGGGCTAACCAAAAGTTCTAAGCCCTGTGTTTGAAGGACCTTGTCGGATAAGGTAACCTATTCAGGAATGAGAAACCAAGTATACCATATTGTAGAGCATTTTCAGGCGCATGGAATGGTATATAATAAATCCTGTTTTCATAAAACTTTGAAGGAATTCGAGCGAATTTACGGATGGACGACTACACACCTACAATCACATTCACCGATAGCCAAACTGGCGAGATGATCGAAGATGCTACGTATATAAGGTTTTAACCTGTCAAAAACTCTACAAAATCATATGTAAGAAAAAATATTTTACAAATACTTTCGACTAATATCGCAGACCACAATATTCAGTATTATATCATGCTTAGCTGTCGGTATCGATGTGAGCGTGTAGTCGTCTACCAGTAAATTGACTCTAGTTCCTTCAAAATTTTATGAAAATAGGATTTACTCTATACCATTCGATGCGCCTAAAAATGCTCTACAATATGGTATACTTGGTTTCTCATTTCTGAATAGGTTACCTTATCCGGCAAGGTCCTTCAAACACAGGGCTTAGAACTTTTGCTTAGCCCTAAGTATTATTTCTATTTTTTTTTTTATAATAAAATGAATCTCTTGATCCACTCGATTACTAAACTACGTAGTGATTGGTTCTTTCAAAATAATGTGTAAAAATCAATTTCAGCTACATACCATCGGTATTTTATCTAGACGGTTTGTAGTGGTTGTGCTTGACCTGTAGCATCCATTATATAATGATGTGGAGATATTACAATTTACTTTTGCCATTTTTTGTTCGAAAAAATTATTTTCAAACAGATTACTGTCAAAAGTCTCTTTTTTTCTAAAAACGTTCTGTCATCAAAAGGCCAAATCAAACAATTGCAATCTTTTATTTAAACACATTTTTCTTCAACACATAAACATATATATTTAATATTTATCTTCAAATATTTATTCTCTTAATTATCCAGTTTTACATTTCCATTTTCACAAGCATATTTTTCTTCTTATTTTTGCATAAATAAATAAAAAAAAAGTCACATTGAATTAGAAATCATGCTATTCTTTGTTTTTTCTCTCTCACACACACACACACGCATACACATACAAACACTATGTAGTTCACATTTATTCGTAGAATAACTCTTTCTCTAGATCACACACGCACACATAGAAATTCTTTAATAAAGAAAAAAAACATGAGGAGAAGAACACAGAAATTGAGAAAAAAAAGTGAGCTCGTGCAAAGGCAAACATTAGAGAATACAGCAAAAAAAAATTACACACAGACGTATGTTGAACGAATGGGTGCACAAAACGAAGAGAGAGAGAGAGAGAGAAAAAAAAATTCAGAGAAAAAGAGAAAAACGAGCGACCGCCGATCGAATACAGAAAAAAAAAAAACACAAAATATATAATACGAACAACGTTCCGTTGTTTTAGATATACATAAATAGAATCAATTTATTTATTAGATTCTATATGACTTGATAATGTACTATGAGGTAATTGTCGTGCACCAAAACTTTTCAATACTTGACATACATGATCATGTTGCTGAGATTCAGCTAAATCATATGCAGTTACATCTTGTTCTTCAAAACGAAATTGTTGATCAACATTTGCACCATGTTCACATAAGATTCGAACTGTATCAGCATGACCCATAGCTGCTGCTATATGCAAACATGAGAGACCACTCTAAATAAATATCAATATTATATATATAGAAAAGATCTAATAAACAAAATGTAATTTCTCAATAACATTTATTACTAGCAATTAATAGTATTCATTGTCTATAAGTAGAGATAAAATCGATTTAAATTTTTGATAATCATCAATACTTTATTAGTATTTTAAATAACAGTAACTTTTGATCTAATTATTTTACTATAAATATATTTTTACAGTCGAAAACATAGACTTCTAAAATTCGACCTGATCGGCAGATAGTTTCGATTCTCCTAATATTATCTATCGATTTCGATGTTCTTTTGCACACTTGATCTAAAAAACTCAATATATCACAAAATTATCGATTCATATTATCAATATAAATCCTAATAGTGATTCTAATAATTCGAAATTTATTCAATCTAAGTAAATCATTGTATCAAAAATACTTGAAAATAACTGTAAAATTTTAATAATTATCTCTTAAGATAATACAAAGAACTCACTATAACATTATCCTATTCGTTCATTATAATTCTCAAAATTTTATATTCAATAACATTCGGTTAAATATTAATAAGATAATTGTTGATCTTTTTTGTCTTTCTAGTAGACACGCCTATGGATGACATTGGAAAATGACTTTCATTTCAGCACGCATCTATTAAAAAGATTGACGTTACCAATTGTCTCATTCTGTATTCTATATCAGGACATCTCTATCAATAAAAGACAAAGGTTAACAATGATGCCATCGTTTTTCACGTCACGTGTTAGTGTTTACCAATATTTAGAATTTTATATAAAAAAGTGCAATAATATTCTCATGAAATCTTAGTTAAGTTTAAATCATAATATTTTAAAACATTGCAATTCTATAGTATTATGTTGATTAACTATGTTAAAATGAAATATCTAATTTAGTTTAAATAAACAAATGAATTTTTTCAGATCGAGTTGGGTGCAGAACTCAAAACACAGAGGGATTTCGGAATCACGCCTATTGACAAAAATACGCTGTTTTCTATGCAGATAATATTCATTTACATTTACAAAAAATTATTATTATGATGTTCGATATTCGTCAAAAATAAAATACAAATTCAAATATTTATTGAGTAATTTCTTTTCTTTTTCGCTTAACAATTTATCTGTATCATTTACTTACGTTTTCTGTTCCATTAACATCAGCTCCTCGATCAATTAAATATTCTACAACATTTTGAAAGCCTTTGGCACATGCACAAAATAAAGGTGTACGACCAGCTGTTTCACCCTAATAGAAAAAAATCGAAATAAGAATTTTTTTTCTCATTCATTTTCTTACTTTTCCTGCTATCTTATAATTAACATCTAAACCAGCATCAACTAATAAATGTAAAATATCAAATGAACCTGATTCAGCAGCAACAATTAAACCATTAATTTTTCCATCATATAAATTTTTTGCTTCAACATCATGACGTGCACCATGTCGAATTAGTAAACGTGCTAATTCAACATTATTATGCTGACATATGGCAAGGAATGGTGATGAACCACGTTCCGATGTTACATTAACATTTGCACCAGATTCAATTAAATATCGAATAATTGCTTCATGATTTCTCATACATGCTATTAATAAAGGTGTTTGATTTTCAATATGAAGATCACGTGCAACTTGTCCTTTTGGTGATTGATTTACATCAGCACCATGACGTATCAATAAAACAACGACTTCTAAATGACCTTCTTCAGTTGCTGTATACAATGGTGTGGCACCAGTCTAAATATAAAAAATAAATTTATTCATTCTCTTAATTATAATTAATTAAATGAATATATACCATTGTTATAGCATTAACATCGGCACCATTGTCAATAAGATATTCACAAATTTCTACATGACCCTTTTTAGCTGCACCAAAAAGAGGCGTCTAGAAGTACATAAAATATGTAATTTTGAATTCAATTATTTATACTATGGAAATTAATCAAGTTACATTTTATCACATTTCCGCACTCTATATAAAACATTTTTAATGTGTCGGATATGCTAAAAGTAATGACGCCGTTGCCTCAATGTCGTATGAATAGCTTGAAGAAAATTTCTCTTTATATGTAATGATAGTTCAAACAGTACTCTATAGTTTTTCCATATATTTTTCTTTATAG